TCCTGAACATAAAAATTTATCAACCAATTAGTGCAAAACTTCTCTGTTAGGTTGACACTGTAACGAGAGATCAATAGCAACACAAACTCCAAACAGCAAAAAAATAACAGATAAAGAGAGAGAAAACAAGAAAAAAAAAAGAGAGATTTATATCAAAGCTCAAAATTTTTGTTTGCAAAATTCAAATGATTCAAAGCGTAAAGAAAAAATATTTCTTTTACTTTGAATTCACTCACTTTCTTCTCAAAGTATATTATAAATTCACACACTATAAGGCAGAATAGCCACGAAATTCAACAAAAAATTAAAATATTAATTGCCGAAACAAAATATATACGGCTATACAGCGCGACAGAGTTGCCAGACTTATAATAATTAAGACGAATTATAATAATTAAGACGAATTTCAATAAATGGATTAAATGAAAAGTGAAAGTAATAGAACCGGATTAATTAAAAATGAGGAATACAAGTATAGCATCCTAGAAAAATAAACGCCATTTGAGGAAGGGAAAGAAAAAGAACATCATACGAAGTAAGAAATGTGTCTAGAAGAAAAATTAATTAAACAAAATAAAAGAAAATTTTAAGATAATTTATTTAAAAAAGGAAAGAAAAACTCAAGAAGTTGCTGATAAAAAAAGGAAAAAATGAACTGGAAAATTAATACGAACACTCTACTGAACATAAAAACATATGCATGCACTATCGTTTACAAATTATAGAAAAATTTCTTCTTGTAGTACTTAAAGGAGAGGAATTATATATAAAAAGAGAAAAGTCTAAAGTCCGTTTAAGTAACATAAGAATGGGTTTTGCATAATGCAATCAGTCTCGCTATTTACAAATCTATACTCATTAAAGCATTGACAAACATCGAAATACTAGGAGGCAGAACAAGACAATCGGCGACAGAAAACAGAAAAAGAAGGAGAGGGATGAGTGCAAAAAAAGTCGAACAGCGAAGAGTCACTTGAGTTGGAGCTAGCACCACGAAGGGATCGGACATGAATTAGTTAGTGGTTTGCGAAAAGTAAATATTTGGTGTGAAAGGAGTGAAAATGGAGATTTTCAATATAAAAGATATGAAACAATATTTCAGAAAAAAGGACAAAATTTCTTGATTAGCAAATTAAATTTCTTGATTAACAAAATAAAGAACTAAACATTTTCTGTGCAATCTTTTTAAACTTTTTTTGAAAGTGCCACTGGAACAAAAAACAGCTTAACATGATTTACGAAAATTCTCACCTTGAAAAGATTTTCCATATTTACATTGTAAAAATGAATAGGAAAAAATTTAGAAAAAAAAATGAGGAGAAACAATTTAGAATGATCAAGATGAGCTGAACACCCTAATATAGAGTTGGGTTTTACAAACAAAAAATTAAAAACCCAGTAAAAAAGTCAAGACGTACAAAATAAAAAGAAAAGAAGACCAGATGATAAAAAAAAAAAATTCACAACAATAATTTTTAAAAGACACAATGAATAACTTAAATTTTACGAGTAAAATTAAAAGTACGATAAATAAGTAAAAGTAAAAACGTAGGTTATAAAATTCCAAGATGAGTTAAAAAAAAAGGAATAAAGAGAGATAAAATAAAAAAAAATATATATGTTATATATTACTAAATGAGAAAAACAAAATATGTATATAATAATTATATACTTTCCGTTAGTATGAATGAGATAATAAATGTGCTAAATCTAGTAGCGAAGTAAGTAAAAGCAATGATTCTGCATGTCTATGTGTGAAGAAGAAAGGAGATGAACATCATTACTAGTACTCAAATGGAAGGAAAGTTGAAGACCGCCGTTGGATGACAACAATGCTATGAAAGTCATATTGAAGTTAAACGCAACATAAACTATTGTTTATATATACACTCCTCCTATTGTTTGCATAATGAACTAAAAGGCAAAAAGAAAAGAATGATTTCGGTTAAGTGAAGTAAGTAGTGATCGTTACGTACACGGAAAAAGACGGAAAGCAAAGGTGTTTTTAGTTTTTGCCGCATAGATATCTGTTGTAACCATGTGCCCCTACGTTAATGTTCCGGCCACGCGCTGGACGCCACTTCTGTGTAACCCGGAGTGTGTGTGTGTCTACTATACTTAATTTTGTGAAACCACACCAGTACACCAATTTTATCTAACCAATCTAGTGGTAAGTGTACTTACGTCCTCTTGCATGTAAAGATGTTATCCAAAAACATTTTAGGACAACCTTACAGTGCCACTATAAGAAGAATAGAGGCCTATGTGTTATGCGTAGCTGTCTTAGCTGAGCTCGTGAGATGTAAAAGGGGTTCTATATCTTTGCTCATGGACACTCCTAGAACAGTTACAACCAAAGAAATTGCACGTACTTTTCCCTTATCGAATAAGCGGACAGATGAAGCCGAAGTAAACGAGGATCCTAGTGCCATCCTGCCTGTTGGTCTCCCTATGGCTTAAAAAAAAGTTTGTGGGAGATCTGTAACTTAGGTCCAAAGACCACTTTCAATGTACTTTCTTTTCATTACAAAAAAAGAACTTAGCACATTTTTAAGAGTAATAATCTATAATATAAAATACTTTAAGTATTAATAAGTTTTAGGAAATCCCGTGCTGTTAAGACACGTCAATACAAATATACTCCTTACGCGGTACAAACACAAAAAGAAAATTGAGTTAGTAAAGGTAATTGACGTACGCGACTCAAATTCAACATGTCAATAATCCTTGATAACTTAACAACAACCAGCTCCCACTTCTTGGCACATTTTTACCATGACAGTATCACCACCCCATTGGTCGCCGTCGTCTAAATTGTACTTTCCTTTGCAAGAACTTGGCGTGCAATTCTTGATATATTTTGTGTTTTAAAAAACTTCATCCAAAGTAGGTCTCAGTTTGCGACGTTTTTGCGGTGTTTTTTATAAATCTGCATTTTTATGATTAACGTTGTCTTTTTCCATCTTTCTCAATATAGCATACAGTAGCAAAAGAAGAAAAAAGTTTCATTACAAATTTTTTTTTTTTTAGGAATTAGTTTATTTTTGTTTTATTTTTCTTTCAGGCTATTCTTTACTTAAGAAGAATTCATACACGTTTGTTTATGAATTACCTATTAACAAAATTTGTTTTACTCTTTCTTATTAGCACATAAAATTTTCTTTGTTGTTTTTCTCTTGATTCACTTTAGAAAAAATTTTATTTTTCTAATCCCTTAAGTTTTCTGTTTCCACATTTACTCTGGTGTATTAATCTTCTTGCCACACATACAATCATAATTAATTAAAATAGCCACTTCTGCATTCAATATGTTCTAAACGGTCTTGATTTTATAAAATTTATGTCCAACACAACGTCAATGCCACACAAAATGTTAATCGTCCTTAGATTTTGATTTTATAAAAAGGCAAACAAAATGCTTATTGTCAAGAATACTTAGCCATGTTTATTCTTAGTAGTTTTAATTGCATATTGTTTAAATACCTAAGTTTAATTATTATTTTCAATAATCCTTTTATTTTTGTTAGGCTTCCTTTGCGCTTAATGTTACGTTCAATTATAGTGTAATGTATATATATTAAAACTTTTGATCGAAATTTTCACTAAATTAGCACTGCATCTTTTGCTTTCCTTTATTTAATATTTTTTTGTTTCTTTTCTATTTTTAAATTAATTATTTTTTCTTCCTGACACACATCAAAACCATCAAACTTTCAATTTTTTTCATTTTCTTAAACCCAAAAACTTCTTCTTCTTTTATCCGTCACAAAAATCCAACAACCCCTTTTATTTCAATTGCAGTTCTGCTCCACCCGTAACGAATCTCAAGCCCAACCCAAAGAAACAGGACAAAAATGGCGTCAACACATCTCTCGCCGTTAAACTTTTTCTCGTGCGACAACTTAACAATCCTATCAAAGCACGGCTGCATTATTTTTTAAGAAAAAAAAATTCAACGAGACTGCTAATCTAAAACCTCATATTACAGTTCTTTTGCAAGTTTGTAGGCGATATCTATATGCGAACGGGAGAATGTTTACCACCGATACGACATAGTTAAGCAGACGGCCAGATGGATATGCCTTTGTGCATTGAGAATTTGTGACTGACTAAGAATTTATATACATAGTAGGGTTTATACATCGTCCATGGAATATACGCATAAATTTCTTGGGTTTATCTGTTGTAGTTTATTAATAATAAGCAAAAAGACTTCTTTTTTTCTTTTGAAAAAGAGAGGAGTTTTCAGTTTACGAGGAACTGCAGGCATGCCCTTCCCGCAATTGGCCTATTTTCAATACTAACTTGCACGCAAGAAATTCTAATGTTTCTGCCAAATTGGAAGTCGACAGCTTCATTTCTGCAGCAAGGTGAATCTTTATAACGGATATTACGCAGGCGGACATAAATCGATTGAGGATTTGTGGGATATCTGAAGCTACCTTCTGGGCGTCGCAAACGTTCCAACAAAATGAATATATCTTTGGCCCTTTAGTGATAAGTATATCGTCACTGAAATATTCTCACTCGGCCCATTGAAATTCCCTGTACTTACCATGGAAACAAGTAATGTTTACATACTTACTTGAAATCTTGGGTATTAAAAGATCTCATCACATAAGAGGTGAACACTAGTAGACTCTCGCCAAAGCTGCTTTTAATCTCCTCTTTCTCTTTGTCATGCATGAAGGTGAATGCGTTGAATAAAAACTTTCGCCATGTTTACGAGGATAATTCCAAAAGTTTATTTTTTAGAAAACAAATTCTTTATATATTGTAAATTTATAAGTTTAGTAAAAATGCGAAGCAAAACACCATTAGTCATAAAAAACTTGGAGAGAATGCCTTTGAATACTTGAGAGAAAAACTTATTATTATTATTATTATTAATTTCGCCAGAGAAATAAATTCGAAGACTAAACTCTTAAAAGCACTAGCATCGAAGGCTATCGGCCTTTATTAAAAACTCTACCGCACTTGAGATTCGAAACCCACGACCACTGAGTTGCTAGTCGCGACTCTTGCCTACTCGGCCACCCAGGCGGATAGAGAAAAACTTAAAAAGTAGCACAAGTAAAGTATTTGATTACAAGAGAAATCAATAAAAAAAAAATTTAACTATAACAATAATATCGTCATCATCAGCAAACATCATCGATAGGCTCTTCCTCCTCTAAACTAGGCACAATTTCAACGAAACCGTCATCACGTCTGTTTGAATCGGATTCAATTCTAGGGATCAAAATACATTTAGTGAAAATATTCTGTTAATTATTTTCAAAGTACAGTCACTTGTCAAAGTCGGATTGTGGCAATAACTCTTCGTCTTTGAAGTTATTGGTGAAACGGAAGATTAAACATAAACGCAGCAGTGCCAGTAAAATCATTAAAATGCCAGCTACATAACTTAGCCATAGGTTGTGCGGCCACATCATCAGAGCAATCCCGATTAATATGTAGGGAAACGCCAGGCGCCAGCTGCCAAAAAATCTACAAAAACTCCAGCATTCCAAGCAAACGGAATAATTGTCGCTGAAATTGTTGTATAAAGTAAAAACATTAAAACATAAAAACAATTTTTTTCGTTTTTTATTTATTTATTTTTATATTTCATTCCATATATATTTTTAAAGTTTTCTCGAACTTACTTAGCAAAGAGTAATTCCAGAAATAAAGTTATTATCCACTTGGTTTCAAAAAATATCATAAACATTGTCGAAACCCTGAAAGAGATAAACCGAAAAATTCTCATTTAAAAAATCGTGGAGCGCAATTGAAAATATTAAATACATTAGTTTATCTAACAAAAATTTGAAGCAGGCGCAGGAGGTAAGATTACTAATTACTGCGTTACGGTGAAATTTGTGTTTGCTTGAAGGAAATAATAAAATTGTGAATTTGGTTTAGGCATTGTGAAATCTGAATATTAATAAATAGTCGATTGTAAGGATTCGATTGAATTGTTCAACTTTGCCAGAAGAGATTATGATGTCCCCGCCTACTATCAAGAAGCGAAGGCACAAAAATGATTTGATTAACTTAAAAGATTACGCGACAAATCTTAAACAATTTAGCGGAACACAGCCTCTCATATTTACTGAGGTAAAGTTTGTAACAGATTCATGGAACATCATGGAATGGAACATCTGTACTCAACTTCTCGAATGTTAAGAAAGCATAGAAATATGTATCGAAGGCCACAAATTTTGCATATAAGTTAGTTAGAAAAAAAAACTTTTTATCAAGTAATCAATGGTTCAATCACTTTATAGTTCCTATATGACGAGAGCTGTGTAATTTCGATCATATAATTGTCATTGTTTATTTATTTATTGATTTCTTTATTTATTTGCTTATATATGAAATTCAACTAAGTCAAATTAGTAGTCAAATTCAAGTAAATCTTAATAGTAAATCTTACAATACATAGGAAGTTGTGAAAAAAGTATAATAAAACGAAGTATCTTAAAATAATAATTCATGTGTAAATAAATAAGAAAGAAAAAAAGACAAAAAAAGCATGTACACAGCTAGCCCAGAAGCACAGCCACAACAAGAACAGATCAAGATCGCAAGCGAACACCTAAATCATTATAAACATGCATAAGCTTGGCAAGCGTCAGCGTTAACAACATCTTTTAGTTTTCGAAAGAAAAAAAAGAGAAGTTAAGAATGCAACTTAGTTTAAGTACGACATAGGCAAACCAAGCATATTAAGCAAAGAGTCCGTTATTGAGAATAAGTGATAGACATCGTTTAGGTTCCTGTAAACAACTTTGAGCGGGCTAAATCGCTCATAATTGTGTTTACATTGACTAAGCTTAATAAAGCTAAAGTGCTTAGAGAAGCGGTTAGGGACGTTAAAGCTTATCTCACCAAGTAATGCGGGAAATCTATAGTACTATTTATTATTTTGATTAAAAAGGAAACGCCAAGAATAAATCTACGTTTCTCAAGTGACGGTAAGGATAACAAAAGTTACCTATTTTCGTAGGGCGGAAGAGAGGCAATTGGGTCCCAGCCCAAATTCCTTAGGGCAAATAGCAAGAATTGCTCTTGAACAGACTCAATTGAATCTACGCGCCTATAGTAAGGAGGCCACACAACCGAGGCATACTCGAGTATGGGTGGTAATGTAGGTATCATCAAACTCTTTGGACCACCTTTTTATAAAACGAAGCGCGGACCTAGCTTTCCTTATCGAGAGCTCAATATGTAAGTTAAAACGTAACCTGTGGTCAAATAGAACGCCGAAATCTGAGAACGAATTGACAACCTCCAACTTGTGGGAGTCAATGAAATACTAAGTAATGAATGACTTCCTTCTTGAGAAAGAAAGCTTTTTACGTTTATTTAGATTTAATTTCATAAAATTCAACGTGCAGCATGCAACCAAATTATTTAAGTCAATTTGAAGCTGATGAGATTGCGATTCTATGAAAAAAGAAGAAAACAGTTGCACATCATCAGCATACATTAAGCACTGGCTGGATTTAATCACCGAGCGTAGGCGTAAATTAAATAATATGTATAAATTAAATAAAATGGGTCCTAAGTGGCTGCCTTGAGGTACGCCAGATGTCGTGGGGAATTCATCCGAGGTGATGAACTTAAACAAAACCTTGAATGATCTATTATGCAGATAAGAGCTTATCCACCTCACTAAATAGAAAGGAAAACCAGAGGCTTGGAGTTTGAAAATCAGTTCGTTATGGATAGCCAAATCTAACGCTTTACTAAAATTAGTGTATATGATATCAGTGCGAGAAGCACTAGAAAAGGCCTTGGATACATGACAAGTACACTCTAACAGATTGGTCACGGTAGATCTTCCTTTTCGAAAGCCATGTTGAAACGGAGAAGCGTACGATTTGATGGCAAAGGCCAAATGCTGAGAAACAATTCGCTCGAACAGTTTAGGCAAGACACTCAACTTGGCAATGCCTCTGTAGTTCTCAACAAGATGTCTGCTTCCACTTTTATGAATAGGAATAAGCAGACTTCTCTTCCAACACAAAGAGGAAACATCTAAATTTAAAGACTTTGAAATAACATAGCATAACCTGATAGCGCATGATTTAAGTACACATGATTCTTGATGGGATTCCATCAAGTTCGGGCGCATGACTATACTGAAACGACCAAGTTAGGAATTGAAACCGAATTATCTATCGAACATGGGTAGTTTACAGTTAAATCGAAATTAACAGTCCAAAAATTTTGTCGGAAGTACTCAGCAAACCGATTTGAGGTTTCAACATCAATCGAGGACTCAGATCCATTGAAAGAAACAGGCGAGGGATTTATGAAGATGTTTCTTTTGGAGTTAACAAATTTAAAAAAAATGTAGGATTAGCAATCAGTGAGGATTTTATAAACTGAAAGTATCTGCAATAATGTTGGTGGTTGATGAAATTAAATCTATGCCTTGCAGCTGAATAAGCGAAATTGTCGCAAGCAGAACCACTTTTCCAAAATTTTTTTAAAAACTTGTTTGTTCTATTCTTGAAATATTTAATTGTCTTAGCAGCCTACCATTATAATTAGGAGTACGGTTGCATTGAACTAAATTACGATCAAATAATTCGTTAAAGAATAGCTCTGTCAGATTTTAAAGTAGGAATCAAACAGTCAGAATTATCACTGTAACATCAAGTGACTTGTGGCAAATTGAAGTCATCGAACGCTATGACTATATCGGTATGTTTGGACTGCTTGGCCACTTCACAAATGGGCGGCACGACCATTAAAACCAGCACACTTTGCTTGGCAAAAATATTCGCAGAGCCAGCATGAGATTAATCGCTAAGATTCTGGGCCTGTTTTCTCACTACACAGTGTAAATAAATAGTCCATGTCCAGTGAAACACGACAGAAGGAGATTATGAAGAGAAAAAGAACAAAAAACTAAAACGTTCCAAAACACAAAAATTGTCAGCAAATTAAACCAATATAAAATACAAAGCGAAAGCAGAACAACCTGTAAACACAGATTAACAGAAAAAGGAGAGACTTTTACCAAGAATTCTAACTGTTGAGTGCACCAAACTGAATTGAATTTCGCGTAGAAGATTAATGTATATCATATAAATTAAATTACACACTTTGGTCTTTTAAAGATATTTATACTTTTAACTCGAATAAAGCAAACAATTTAAGAGATATGCTAAGAAATTGATATATTTCTTGCAAAGAATTAAAACGCTATTACAACGCGCGCGCAGAGTTACCCAACTCTGCTTTTTTTGTTGATAAAATTATGATGCCATCATTTTAAAATTTTTTGTGAATCAGGCCGTGAAACTGAGTCAATATATTTTCCTCTCGCTCCCTCTCTTGAAATTTTACATCACTAACGGAATTCTGCAGCAACTTTTCATTTTGAAAACGCAATTGAATAAATAAATGGCACAAAGTTTTTCTATGTCCAACACGCTATAAGGTTAGCGCACAACATACAGAAGCAACCTTCAAATATCCTATAATTTATATACAAATGTACGTAGGTTGTCTAAAATATTTCCGACCTATATATGAAGATGGCATAACTTTTGGCAACAAAAGCTGAGGAATATCTTTGCGTATACGGTGATGAGTACTCAAGAAAATTTCAAGCATTGTGGATGGGCAATTGTGGTTTAACAATCTTTTTAGTCAGTCGATATCAGTGTTTGTGTGAAAATGGAGAAAATTGACTACCGAACTATGCTAAGGTATTTTGAAAGATGACAAGAGAGCCATATACATAAATTAATAGCGAGTTGGATGGAATTGAATCGTGCCAGCGTAGAATCCTGATTGGATTTGGAATGCCTCTTTTCGAAGCAATGCAAATTTTCAAAGCCTTGGCGCACTTTGAAGGCAAAAATCAGACTTTTAGTACGAATTAATAACCGTAAATGAAACACCAATAAACTCCAGAAAGAAAAACACATTCAAAATAATGAATTGCAAAGGGAGAATTGGCTTCACAAACGCAATTGTTTCTCTGACGAACAAAATGATGAAAAATCATTCATTATGGAATTATCTTAACCGATTATCTCGAGAAAGTAAGGACAATACAGGGGCAAATTAGACATCTTGACTTATGGTAAAAATTGTTTGGTCATCTTTATCATTTCTTAAATGTAGCCACAAGCAACTTTTTTTTGCCCTCCAAATCCAAAAATTGCTTTCGAAGTTAAAGATAAGAAAGAGATTTTTGTTAAATCAAGAGCTGGCTTCTTTGTTTACATCTTTTATGCAGAGTAGAGATTCGTGAGTACAATTTAGACGCGGGAGCATCGCTGCGAGAAGAGTGTACAAGAGGACTATGTAGAAAAATAAAAGAAAATATAAGGAAAAGATATCGTCTATTTTGCTAAGGGTGGAAACTTTTCCGACCTGCCCCCGTATTCTTGATCGGTGTCAGAGTCGATTTAGGTGTGTCCGTCCAATCATCTGCGTGGATGCGTTGGGTAAACATTTTCTTTTTCGTAAAAGTTATATTATTGGCTTCAAATTTGAAAGCTAATGGCATTGAAAACGCACTAAACTTGTCTAAGGGCATGCTTGTGATATCATATAATCTAAGAACGCCTCTGTCTTAATAAAATGCAACTGATGCAACGACAAACATTTCGACCTATGTTCTATGAAAAATTCTACAGTAACTATAAAAAATGGAACAATTTGACCTTGCCCACCCAATGTTAAAAAATATTGAAATTTCACTATTTATTTTTTATCTTTTTCAAGATAAATGTGATGAGTATGAGAACTTCAGCTATAAGTGACTATAACTTTCGTTCTTCTCACTTCTTTCTTACGTGGTTTTAATTATCTATCTACCGTCACCCTTCACATGCGTTAGAATATGGCTTGATAGGGTTAATGCGGCTACAAATTTTCTTAAATGATCCATGATTAAAAAATACTTCCAATCTTTTATTTTATCTAATATATGAATGTCTGGGTCATTAGTGTGATTGGTCACATGAGCTGTCCAAAAATCACAAAATTTGATCCATGGATTTAATTTCAAAGTGGTAAAAATTTGTGTGTTGTTCGTTTTTTCTGAATTGCTATATCAGAAAGTTTTGTTTACAATCAATCGTTAATGGAATATGGAGGTGTTCTATATTTATCCTTATGTTTGCAACATTCAGAAATATGGTGGTGAGATCTTGTAGCGTATACGCATTTTTCAATAACGTATAGTTCTGACTTTAAGTAAGAATGTCCTTTTGTTCTAAAATATATAATTATCGGAAATGTGCTAGAGAAATATTTTCCACCATCATCTAATCGTCCAATCTAAAAATGCTCTCGATCGTCGACAGTTAAAATAGCTTGCAGTTTATGTACATTGTTTAATCAGTTAACTGCCTATGACATATATGCACGTCATGGAAATAATACAATAACACGAATATACGTCGTGATCCGTTTATCCTTTCTTCTCGGATGTCCTCATAAAATTATATCACTGCGAATGTTTATTTACGATAATAACGTATGTAAGAATGTGCGTGTCATTTTGTCAGTATATTTCATTATTATTACTTCATTACAAGTTAATTTCATACTACACATCATCTGTGGATATACTCGTCATCGGTAAATTTTTGCGCCGGAATTTAAACTCACATTTTCCAAACAGGCCGACACATTTAACTGGTTAAAGAGAATTAAGAGACTTTATATGATATAATAATTATTACTTACTCCATGCTAAAGAAGCAAACGGCTCAGTACTTACAACAAAATAAGCCCGATCGTGTAGCCATGTAAGTGCAAATCAACACCAACACCGCAAAGTACTGAAATAGCAAGAGTAAGAAGAACGATAACATTTTTGTTAAATCATGCTTACTGGATAGATAGTAAAAAAAACAAAAGTAGAAAGACATTAGCTAATGGAAATTTGAATTACAAATTGAGATAATAACTGAATTTACGAAATACCATCGCTTAAGCTAATTAATTATTTTTCTTTTTTTCATTTCGTGTCCTCATAGTAGCTTAATTAATATTGTTTTTCGATTTATAGTTCTACTTAAATGTTTTGAATATATTCCAACTGGAAGTCCGCATAAGATAACATTGTATAGATAGGAGAGTCAGCAAAAATGTATCACGATAAGATTTAAGCGAAGCTATAGAAGAGAGTATTTATCGTATTTTTATGCCGATAGATGAATTAGAGTAAAGCTTTAATAAATTTTGGCGGTACATCTGTTTGTCGTAAATCGGTTTCTACACGTTGTCCGGTTGTTATTCACGTCAAGCTTGAAAGAATCTCGGTGAGCACCCAAGAAAGTTCTTTTTCTTTGGAACGTACTTTGTATATAAAAAATCTGAAATTTGTTATTATATACTTTTCATTGAATTTTATGAGACGAATAAGAAAAAGGAATTTGCGGATTTGATTTAGAAGAAAAAAAAAAAACCATTTGCAATACCAATGTAATGAAAAAAGATTCGGCCCGTATTATTACAAGAATATTTATAAACTTCACCTTATGAAGAATGAAGAAATCATTTCAAATCAGATTCAAATATCCTAATAAATTATTAGTTAGATTGTCGGAAAATTCCTTGCGGTTTTTCACCATGAAATACAATTTTTTCTATATAAAGAATAAACTTCGTTAAGTTACATAATTGCCATTCTGTTCAATAATAAGTTGCCACTTTTCAGGGAATTTCAGTGTTCCCCCAACATAAGATTCAGTTTTTTCTGCCATCGCTAACAGTTGTTTGGAGGAATCGTTATGTGTGAATGATCTTCAATCGCAACCATTAGTCGGTCGCTATCAATGGTATTTGGGCTACCGGAACGCGGCAAAGGATTCACTGAAAAATTTCAAGAAAGCAATTTCGCAAACTAATTTTGGCAAGTCCGCTCTGTTACAGTAATAGTTTTATACACAGCATATGTTTCTACATATGTTTCTGCAGCTGTTTTACCTTTTTTGAAATAAAATGTGTCTTATACGCTCACCTTGACTTCCCATTTTAAAAATTACGTCTCACTATTATATTATAACACAACTGATCACTTTGAAATTTCTTTACAAAATTACTTGCATAACTGTATATACCTTTAATCCTAGTTATCTGTTTAGCTACTTGAAAAAAGTTATTTTAACCTGGTGTCAGGAAAAACGTCAAAGAATGTTCGGACTACCTCAAATACAGATTGTTGACCAGGACGAAATTGTGTGTCGACATAGCCATGTGCGTTTGTTAATAATGTTGTAACCTCAGCTTATCGTTGCGTGCCACTTTTTTGTCTAATAACATTACTTGTCTCTATCCTAATTGTTTAGCCAAAATCTGAGCTGCATTAATTTTAGGAATACTCGATAGTGCCACTTTGTGGGGATAGGAGACAGACGAGACCGATATACATACTTTTGCCGAGCTAGGTAGTTTGTGAGATGTGGGTAAGTTTTATATTTTGGCATTTACACCTAGAAGAAAAGCACGTACTTACTCTTACCTACTTACCTACTGAACGGTTGTGCTCTAAGCCCTGGGCCTTTCATTACCCCTCCTAGCTAATTGTTTCCTTCGGCCCGTAATATCAATGGGAGACTCCGAAGTTGAGTCTGAAGACCTTTCTAAATCTACCGTCTCCTTATAATCAAGAATTTAATTGCGCGACATTTTTTTTTTAGTATTTTTCTTTCCTCTCTTCAGTTTTTTATTAGTTAATAACTATATAAAAAAAACCAAATAATATGCTTCCTAATCAAATGTATGCAAACAGAAAATTATCCAAGTTTAACGCTTATTGGTACATAGGTATTATATATAAGTAAAAAAAAACTGTTTGTCTGCTGAATTCGCTACAATATAATCTTTAATTTATACAGAAAAGTGTATAGAGCCATCAAATTCAAGTCATACAAATACTGGAAATACTGGAATACTGGAAGTGATTGCAGCGTTATTATATAACCAAGTTAGGAGAGAATATCTTTGTTGTTTGCCGATCAAACTAATGTACATTTTTCGTTTTTTTTTCTTTTGATTATATTTGTTACTCGTTTATAGGCAAAAATTTCAAGATTCTTCTTGTCCAAAAGAAAAATTATATTTTTAACTTCCCTTTACTGAATATCGAATCATCTCTAATCAAATTTGAATGACACAGCTATAAAATGTCGTTTTGTTCTCAATCGATTACTCATATCTTGTTTTTCTTTATATTACAAACTAATCGTTCCATGCTTCTTTCGATTATTATTCACGCGTCTTAATTATTATAGAATGGCCATTTCTTCAAAAAAAATAATACGTTCGATATGATTCTCATTTTTTTTTTCAAAATTTATATTTAACCAAAGCGCCAACGGAATAATCAAATATTCAGCGTTCTTAAGTAATTTGACAATTTTGATTTCCTTTCTTTAGGCTTGTCTAAAATCGAAGTCATGTTAACGACGTTTCATATTAAATTCTTGTCTCACATTTCTGCTTAGTTTATGTATTTATTTTTCTCTTATAATTTTCCACTGAATCGATTACATTTGAAAGCTACAAAATATATTATGTTTTTCTGCACTCTATATAAGCGCTGCAGGAAGTTTTTTTTTCAATATCTTTATAACGCGCACAAACAAACTTCAGAAACCCCATAAGGTATACAAATTCTTGACCAATCTTAAATTTGAAATGTCTGTGTGCGCAACTTTTTAGTATTTGTGGTAAACATTCTCGCGTTAGCGAAAATAAAGATATCGTTTACAACTTTTCAAACGACAGGCCTACAATACCCACATGCCTATACGACGAAAACTTTTATTTTCAAAATAGAAAAACTCAGCTGCGCCCAGTTCATATTATAGGACATTGAAATTTTGTTCTTTTACTTCTTTTGTATTTTTTAGCACAACGGTGATGGGTATAAACGATTCAGTCCCGACCGAATTTAATTTCCTAGAGGAGCTTTATTTTAGATTAAATAATTTTGGCTTATAAACACATGGCGACCCGGCGCTCCATTATCGGAATTTACTACTGTTATCGTTATTTTTGTTGATAATGAAATAATTTCTTTATTTATATTCTTTTTTTTTTCTGTCAACTGATCATTGTATTTCCTTTGCTTCTTCAGTAATTTATATTCTTTCGTGGACACTGATAATAAAGTTCCATCTTTACGTAAAATTCTATTAATACATTTCAAACAAATTTCTTCATTTTACCATTCAAACTTTTTCTTATCTTTTTTTTTTCAATTCCCGACATTTAGACCCGGCATCTTGCTTTTTTCTTCTTATTTCCTTCGATCAACTTAATATTTTCACTATAATATATTATCTTTAATAACTCACAAATTAGTCTTGACACATTTTTTCTTTTACTATTTAAAAGAGTCGCGTAATTTCTTTGATCGCTTTTCTTGTTTTTTATCTGCTTGTGAAGCTTTTTTCCGCATATAAACTTTCCTTTCTTCCACCATCCTTTTTTTCCTTTTCTTCTATTCCCTCATCTGCCTTACCGAAAAGCGCACAACAACGAAAACCAAAAAAAAAAAAAACTCGTCAAAAGACAATCTCTCGCTGCCAACTCGTTTCGTATGCCAACTTAAAAAACTAAGTAAAGCCGGGTCGCATTTTTAGTCAACATAAATTTTTAAGTCAAAACCACACATTTCAAGACGTTTTTTGTTAGAGTTTCCTTGGTCGTACAAGAGTGAAGATGAAATATCGAAAATTCATATACTGATAAAACATGAATACAGTCTGCAGTTTTTAAGAAAGTTAAATCCAGCTCGACAAATAAATTAAACATTTTAATAAATCGTTTTCAATTCATGAGATATAGTTTGCTTATATTTTACACCTGACTAAAAGTAATGAATGGTGTTAATTGGCATTCTGTCACGCCCCCCATAAACGAACGAAACACTTTACCACTGCTGATAAGTTTACTTGAATTGATGTCAAAGAAGGAATTATAGGCTTTACTAAAAATATTTAAAACAGAGTAACAAATAATTTTTCTAAAAAGATCTAAATTATTAGAGAGTTGACGATAAAAAGTTTTCACACACTTTTATAGATATTCATACATAACAGCACAATGTGCTCCTTTATTTTCGAATTTATTTTCCATAGGAAATCATTCTTTTCAAACGAAAGCACCTCGATATATGATATGATAAATATTGATGGGATAATTTCACGAAAAACTGAACATCGAGTAACAACAAGGAAATAAATTATATTCGCCTGGAGACGAATCTCGCTAATCCTCTTTGCAAATAACGGTTTTCCTGTATTGTAGGCGCATCGGGAGATTCACTTCGATTTTATTTCTTTGTAATTTATTGGTTTAATCGATACTTTGAACTTCCCTGAACATGCGGGAAAAACTTCGTTATCCGAAAAATATGTTTCCTATGAAGATTTTGACCTCTTTCCCAAGTACAACGAAACTGATACCTATGTCAAATGAAACTTTGCTGGGAAGTTGCAACTTAACATTTTATTTGTTTATTTCAAGTTTCTCTAATGCACTCAGGAATGTCTTTGAAAAGTTTTTATATTTATTTAAAAACATATACCCTTCTAAAAAAAGAGAAAAAAAAATTGCAAACATCGGTTAGCGAATGTTTCAATAATTCTATTAAGAAGTTAAAAGGGAGAGATAAAATTCTTGGAGTTGGCTTTTTTCTCCATCATTTCACAACCAGTTAAGTGTAAGCTTGCGATTCTTTCTTCTCGAAATGCGGCAAAAGAGACTCTCTGGAGCAATTAAAATTAAAATGTGTATTTGAACATGAAAGGGCATTTTTATATTGCTG